GGTTCTTATATTTAAGTACAATCTGAAAATGAACTAATCATATATTAGCGTTTTAAGATATATTAGTCACATATTAGCATTTTAAGACATATTACTTAAGATGAAATATAAGAACGGATTATGAATCTCTACCTGCTTCTGATAAAATATGTGCATTTTAGAAAAAAGTTTATAATTTATTATAGAATTATAAAATTCTGTTTGTAGGTTTATAAATTTTTCTGTTTGTTCTATTATCATTTTATAACATATAGTTTGTTTCATTAAAATTTAGTTATGCTCAACTTTTTTAAATATACTTATATTATAAATAAATATAATTTTAATTGTACTGTTTTAAAGAGTCCTAAAGTACTAAATTCATGAACAGATAAAGAGTCAATTTTATTTTTGCCCTATAATACGTTATATAAAGTATAAAATTTATTATATATTCTATCATTAATAATTCCTAAAATATACTAAGCTTATTAATTAAACCGTTCTATTTCATGCATTAAAATCTTTGTAAAAGTTATAACAATAGCCGTGAGAATTTCGTCGATTGCTCGTCGGTTGAAATCAGAGGTTCTTTTGTCCTCACTTCTTAGCTTCTTTGTGAAGAAGACATCCCAAAGGAAGAGGCGTCGAGCAACGTCGGGCACCCAGGGAGCCCTTTTATTGACGGTGATAAACATTTTTATGAACCCCACGCGAATTACTACTTTTTATAACTCTGTCGCTCGATCTGTCGCTTTCTCCAATCCCTAGCGTTTCCTCCTTCGATGTACTCGAAAAGTTTTTCTCCCCTTAAGAAATTTTAACATCACGAAAGCTTGACGTAGCCTTGACTGCAAGAGCTCTAGAGATTCAAACTTTGAAAATGTAAGAATTTTGTGATTTAAATATTTACGGAATCATAAAATAAAGTTAAACGTAAAATTCACCAATTCAATATTAATATCACAATTTTCATCTTCTTGGAGCTTCCCGACATGTTGAAATTTGGATTCTTGAAACTTTGTACTTTTAAATTTTTTGTTTGTACAATGTATAATTATAGTTATTTGAATTATTTTTTATGATAGTTTCAACCATTTATATAGTTACAATAATCATAATGACAATAATATATGTAATTTATATACTTACAAATACCAAACAGTTCTTTTAGTGAGGAATCATTAATTAATATTTAAGATAAAACATAATTTAAGTTAACGATGATATACAAATTCCTCACGATCGCAGATTGTGGAATAATGATCGAGAAAATCGCATTTTATTTATTCTCTAAACAACTTTATTGCAACGATATTGTTGCTGCCATAAAATAAACGAATTTCATTTAATTCAACTTCATGACATGTAAATCCTTGGTTTCCGTGATCCTTAGATCCGGGTAGGATTATACTGTGCCGCTCATAGTCCAAACTGGCGTGCACGATGCGCGCGTTCCATTATAATTGCGCTATAATAGCCATCGCAGATGTCGGCTCGTTAAATTGTTAATATGTCGGAGGGCCTGCCGGAAATTCTCCGAAGTTAATTCTGCAACCTTCTGGCTCTACAAGAGGAGAAGTTTAAAGAAGTTTCGCTCGATTATTTGCTCATCAGAAATTAATATAACGTCCACCAGACACCTTCCACTCCATTGTCTTCTGACCGACGGATTATCGGCTATTTTCTCTAATCCTATCTTTTATCCGTGCAACGGCGAAATTTGAAAATTTTTAGCAATCCTTCATTCTCATTAATTCTTTGTCCTCGGTGAACTTTTAGGCTTCCTGCCTCATTAATTAATTCTGATTCCTTTCTTCGCATTTAGAGAAGAAATATAATGGTAGCAACATAGTGATGACAATTATACAAGATTTGTGTAAAATTAATGTACACAGTATATGTTCAATAAACTGTTTTATAATTATTGTAACTATAAAATAGATTATTTAACTATATATGTACAAGGTGTTGTATCAACATACAGGTCAGTATGACGGATTACCTATCCGAGCAAGTGTACAAGATCGTTTATGAGTGCGTAACTTCGATTTTTATAATAATTATATATATTGTCACTCTTTTACTCTTGTCTTAATCTATCATTCTCACAATCAGTAAGCAAGAAACATTTTGGAACATTTCAGCAACATTGTAGCAATGTTGTAATATTGTCGCTGTTGCTGAAATGTTCTAAAATGTTTCTTGCTACTATGTAGTTATTTTTTAATTATGTGCCAAATTAATTTTTTAACACTCTTGAAACAAAAACCGAAAACTTATATACCTAGCTGTTATCTTTATAGTTGCTACTATTATGTTTTCCTTTGAGTGGAATTCGGCGCTTTTTATTATTTTCCAGAAACACAATTTCAGAATTGGAGATGCTACATATGGATGACACGTAAGGTTCAACGACTTGAGATTCTAGGATAGTCAATGTAAGGGAAAGTTCTAGGAAAGGAGAATGTAGACAACAACATCTTATCACTCAGTAATATCTCGGAGACTGAAAGGAGAATGTAGAATAAGGAGGAGCAAAAGTTTACGAGGATATTGTAATGCAATAGTGTGTTATTCGCCTCAAACTCTCTTTCACATAAAGAGAGTTTGAGGCGAATTCACTAAATTAGCGGTGCAAACCGCGATGGTTGTCAATATATGCATTGCGATATCTGTCATCGCGTTATACATCAATGCTGACGGGTGAGTAATTAAATAAACGATGTACGCACTGGCGTTAAATTAAATTAATTATATGATAAATATGACTTTTCTCCCTGTTTTCGCTGGAATTATTTAACCTATATATTGAAAATCCATGATATCGTGCCAATTACAAGAAAATACGTGTACTCGAAATTTGCGCTTGATATGAAGCACACTATAAGCCATCGAAAATAGCTGTTTAATATTGGAATTGTATTTGTGTTTAAATATTTGTGTGCGCATTTTAATTATTTCAAGTTGGTTGTTTGATTTGTCTGACTTGAAATAATTAAAATTCGTGTACAAATTTCAATCCGGTAGAGAATGAACGAGGGTTGTTTTCCTTATTTATTTTAACAGAATCCATCAGTAAAAAGTTTTTCATCCACGAATATGTATAAATATGTGTAAACATACATAAACACGTACAAATTATATATGAAATATGGCCACATACATATTCATATATCCCTCTTGTCTAAAATTACTTTTTAGTGTAATAAAAGTAATAATAATGATGCGAAAACATTAAAAATAATTAATGAGATAATTTTCGCATTGTTTGTTTCAGAAAAAATTAAGTTGAGAAAAATGAATATAATAACATACGATAAAATTTAAGAAATATTACACCTTTTTCCTATTTTATCTTTTAATTAATACATACAATACAAATTATATACAGGGATATTTAAAGCGTTATCCTTAAACAAGTTATTATCCTCGAAAGTATACGTCGAATAAAAAATATGTTTAAAAGGTATATGGCCTGATAGACTACTAGTAATGGTAAAATCAATTTTTAATGGTAAAATAATATCTTCGTCGGTGACGAGATACTATTAAAATTTATTTAAATACTAAAGTCAAACAAAACTGTTCCCAAATAACTTAGGTAATCGGACAACTTCCAGATCACGTTGGAAACTACCAGTTCTCGTCCGATCACTGAAGTCAAGCAACGTTGAGCATGGTTAGTACTTGGATGGGTGACCGCTTGGGAACACCGTGTGATGTTGTCCTTTAATTTTTTATTTTTTGCCAAGCTAAAAGAAGACCATGTGTTGAGATAATTAATTCATAACATCTCAACATACTGTCTTCTTTTACCTTGGCAAAAAATTAAAAAAAATTAAGGAGTATCACGCGATGTTCCCAAGTCGTCACCCATTTAAGTATTAACCATGCTCAACATTGCTTGACTTCAGTGCTCGGACGAGAACTGGTATGTATGTATTAAGTTTATTTCTGTTTATAATTTTTTAGTAATATAATAAACAATACTTCTCACACAGCACTGAATGTCATCAGAATGTGGCCAGAATGTTACATTTGAAATCTAAAATATTCTGGCAAATGGTAGCAAAATGTCTTATGTCCACATCTAGCAACATTCTGGAGACATTCTGTAATATTCCGGAAACGTTCTGTAACATATAATACACAGCATGGAATATCACTAGAATGTCATCAGAATGTCATCAGAATATTTCAAATGTTTTTTTTACAGAATATTTCATTTGAAATGTTTCTGCAAACATCCAAAGATGTTACATATCTGATATTTTATTTGAAATATTCTAGAGACATTCCATTTGAAATATTATCCATTTGCAATATTTTCTTAATATTCTGTAGACGGTTCTCTTTCAATCTTTTTGAACGATGCGGCGTTTCGATGCGCATAATTTTACGAGCAAAATTTTGTCGCGCAATAATAATTAATTATAAACGTCGGAACATTGATAGTGACGCATTTTATATAACGACGCTCGTCGATTTGATCGAATACGAAGACAAGGACGGTGGAAGAAAGAAGAGCAACTCTCCGAGGGATATACATCTTTGCTTACATTCCGACGCGTTATTTTATTACACCGCCCTAAATTTCCTCCGGAGTAGCTTTCCGTTTACTCAGAAATTTTTCTCCCTTACGATACGATCTATGTGGCACTGCTCTCTTCGATATCTTCTTTTACTACTTTCCAAAATTAGCCCCTTAAAATCGGCTAACAATAAGTATTATATTAAATACAAGACGCTTCTATTATGTTTTTTTACAAGATACGTCAAGTTCAAAGATAAAATTGAATAATTCGAAATGCTTTTCTCAACGGGAGCTGTGTAAAATCATCGTCAAAAATCACGACGATATAGAAACGCGGCGAGACACACACCCTCTTGGTTCAGTCACACTCACCCTCCCGGCGCCACTTCCGCCCTCTTCCGCTGCCGTCGCGACGTTCGCCACCCCTCGTTCGGTGGAGGCGCACGTTTACGAAGGGCCAGTAGTGTCAGTACGCCTCCAGCCGTCGTGTGGATCGAATGCGGCAACTTCGTACTTCCCGCATCGCCAGTGAATGTCGAATTCGACGATCGGCGGATAATTTCGCGCTCAACGTTATGGCTATCCGAAGATCAGGGACATCCCCGTTCGAAGACATGTGCGCGGGCGTGCGCGTGTGTTATTTGTAATGAGCACCGCGATGTGATCAGTATCGCGACAACCGAGCGTCCTTCGCTCTTGATCGCATTAGTGACCGTAAATCGCGTTTCTCTAAATCGCGAGCGAGAATAATAAGCAACATGGACTGTAGATATCATTAAGATTGAGTTGAGCAACCAGAAAAGCCACGCTCATAGTGTCTTCGTATTATACTTTGGAAGGTGGGTTCAAATGCCTGTATAGTAACATTGCTTTCCTTCGCGAGCTCGTACATTCTCAGATTGTCAGCGTCGAAACCGAATATTTTCATTAAATTTTGCCATCGAAGATAATTCTGATTTTAGGATTATGTCATTTATTAATGTTGATATTAAGAAATGATAATATTTGAGCTACCTTCGCGCGAAATCTTCGAAGATAGATATGAATTCTTCCCTTCCTGCAGAACCATATTCCTAAGCTTTAGATTCTTCGTTAATCACAATGTCTACGTGCTCGGCTTGCGATAATATTTCAGTAATTCCGTGCTACAGTAATGTGCGAAGTCCAGAAAGTCCGATTGTAAAGAATAATCCAGTTGTTAATACAATTTGTTAATATTACGAATAAGCGAGGGACGAGCAGAATTTAAAAAAACATTTTCAGAAAATGCTTTGTGAAGTTTCGTAAATAAATTTGCTAAATCCATACGATTACGATTTTCGTGGTTTCTGTTTGTATTTTAAACCGGAGAATCCTTGGCATTGATTCGTTTCCTTTAAATATTGGTTGATCGTCCGACTTTATATTGAGTCGTTTGCCTCAGTTTCTCTCAAATATTTACCTACCAACTGTTTGCAATTTTCGGGTCTATCTTTAGATTTATCTGGAACTCTTTTTCCGATGTAACCCTGTACGATCGTTGTTTTTCTTCACTTCTTCAAATTCTTTTTCCGAAATTGGCGATCTTAAGATTACGTCACTCTTCTGGTTCTTGAAACCAAAAAAGCTTAGCTATTTTCAAACACTGAATAATATAAAGGAGATTTATTTTACGTTCCTGATTCTTCTTAGATTTTTTCATATTTAGGATTTTGATTCCTTAAATTCTCAAAATATTGTATTTTAAAACATTAGATAACCACATCAATGCGTCTGTAGAATTCTGATATCCTTGTAATAGTTTCTGTTATTGAAAACCAATATGAAACATTTTTGTATGATGCATTCTAATTTGGATTGAACATATTCAAATCTTTAAGTTTATTTGTTTTTACTCGAATTTTGACAACTTTGCGTTGTTTTACACATTCTGTTATCGGTATCGAAATTTTAATTTTCCGTGCATGATATAAATATGCATTTTAATTGGTAATTTGTGTAGTAGATTCAACCAAAGATATCAATTTAGATACTTATATAGCTAAATCTATAAAATATTTTAGTCGAGATAACCATAAATTTGCGATACTATCATTCTAATCAAAATGCATTTTGCGTGTACTTATTAGTATACCCAAAACACTTCTCAATGATTACTTTATTTTATCTTTAGTCAGATCTTTCTATACATGTACGTAGGTACTGTGACCTGTGAAATAAATAAGGAGCAATGCCTGTACCGGTCAAAGCTATCTTGAGTACTTAAAATAATTTCATGAGATTTTATATGTCACGTTTGTATAGTTTCTCAAATTGCACATCGAATTGATTTTCCGAACTTAGAAATGTAACTACAAATTTAAACATTTTTCAATTTTTTTCCATTTACAGAGTAAAATATATAAGAATTAATTACCACTCAAGTATTGAGAAACAAAAACCTTGTAAATCAGTATAATTATTTTACATTGACTCTAGCCAATAAAGAACTGTGCCTAGTTTGGATCCAAAGTGAACAATCATGGGTCATTTATTAATCGATAGAGTAGCACTTACAGAAACAAAAGGTTTTAATTGTTAAATTGATCTCTGGTGAATGTATGGATTTTATCTATTTTCAGCTTTCTCTTCCTCAGCTCTTGGAGCTCTCTAAAACTAGAAAAACGTCGTTAAAAAGATCTTAAAGTGAAGAATTTCGACGAAATCGATATTTTATTGATATAAATACATATATACATCGATACATTTTTAGGTATATATTACTATATCGATATCGCGTGCACACGATAGCGTTTTAATTAACGTCTAATAGTAAGTTTATTAATTCCAAGATGTCGACGCTGTTTCTTCGTGTAATCTATTAGTTTCTAACCTCCAATTTTGTCAGTACAGATTGAAAAATGATAAAAAAGATCACAATTTCAAAAATTCGTATCATTTTCTCAAAACAAGTTTCAAGCTGCAGACGTTATTAAAATGATCTTTCAAAGACATCTGTTTTACCGATTAAATAGAACTTACACACAGACGATTGACATGTCATTGACACATAACTGCATATTACTATATTAATACTTCGCGCACACTTATATATAAATTTTCGTATAACGATAGCGTTTTAATCAGCCAACTAAGTCCAATTCTAAAAACTTCACGTTATTTCTTCGTGCAAATTACTAATCTGTGGACTACTATTTCGTAAGTGCAAATTGCACAGTAGCTTTTATATCAAGCAAATGTTGACACGACGTGACAGCTTTAGAGAGCCATATTGAATTAACAATAAGAAATGGTAAAGAAGATTTCCATTTCGAAATTTCTGGTCGTTCGCTCAATATAAACTTCACTTCACGGATACGTATTAATTATTAATCTCGGAAAAGAATTTTCGAATCTGCGTAAAAGAGCAAGCAATTGAAAAAAGAAAGAGCAATTGTTATACAAAAATTAAGCGTTTAATCGATAAAACAGACATCTTTAGGATTAATGCGTATACTTTAATTCTGAAGGATTTCCAAACCTGCAAAAGTAATATATATGATATCGTTCTACGAAAATTATTGCGTTCAATCGATAAAACAAACTTTGGGATCCCCTTAACTGATCTTGCTAGCGCATGGATGTCTTCCCTAATTAGTACATTTTCGCCGCTTGTTCATCTTCTCCCTTGCTTCTCCCAGAGCGAACTCCAGAGGCATCGCTGTCATTACAATCATATCCGAATTTCTCTAACATGACAGCATAGATCGCGTTCAGGGACTTAGCCGGATTACTGAACTGTACCAAATAATTTCAGACATTACGTTTTTGACACAATCCGTTATCGTCGTTATCGCGAAGAGAAATAAGATAAAACCAATGATGGTATAATACATACATACACATACTCTTATAATAACAAACTTTGAATAGCTTTAGCACTCATGACAGAGAAATCATTTTACAAGATTGTGCCAATGGAACATTTTTTTATCTTTTTTTTTGATACCCTGTACAGTCCATGTGTCAATATTGTTTACCCGGAGTCCAATTTTTCCATAAGAAACTGGCTATATTTCTTTTAATATATCATTTAATAGGGTAAGTCAGGTGAAGATGCCATGTCGGGTAAGATGTCATTTGTTAATAATTTCTACGTTTATCCTTAAATAGTGTTAGTGGCACGCTCAGTTTGTTTATTTGTAAGCCAGCAACGATATGACATTCGGTGTCAGTAGTTATTTTCAAAGAATGTGAATTTATCGAGGTAAGTTGAAAAAGTACTGTTTTGATCACATATTTTACACGATATTTAGAATTCACATTAATCTCTCTCTCTCCTTTGTGGACTTTATTTCACAAATACTCAGTAGATTACATTGAAGTTTAGTATCAAGTGAATCTTCTAACTTCTTAAATGCACTTTTAATAGCACATGTTTGATATAGAAATTTCTGATGATATTTTTTCTAGTTGTGTTGGGGTAAGATGCTACTTTTTTGTCGGTGTAAGATGACACAAGAGGCATTTTAATGTAAAGATGTTTTATTTTGGTAATTATTCAGAATAGGTCCCGTAACTTAAAAATCAATCAAATTAGGCTTATCAGACACGTTTTTGCAAACGAACGAATCTGGCAAAAAAAAGTGTCGCTCTGCCCCGCGAACCGAGATATTAAACGTTAAAGTTGACGATTATTCAGGTTAGGAAATCTGTTATAGACACGAAATACTGCGATACGGTAACATTTCTCTGCTCTAATTACACAAATTCTCTGCTATAAACACAAAATCAGTGCTTTAAAAACATATTCTCTGTTCTAAAATACAAATTCTCTGATTTACAAAGAAAACGCATCGAACAAGCCTAATTTTATTTTTAAGCTGCGGGACTATTCTGTATAATTGCCTTTATATTTTTTTAAATAGATATTAATTATTTTTAATTACTTTTCAGAAATGAATCTAGATAATGTCAAGAAAGTATTTGCGAACTACAGACCGCGGCAATTGATCGGAAGATAATTTAAAATTGGCCGTTTCTATGGTTAAAAGAGACTGTAAAACTGTATGGCAGGCTTCAAAAGGTTATGGTATCCCATACCGTACACTCAAACGAAGAATAGCTACAGACAACTTCGAAAAGATTCCTCTTTGACGTACAGGATGTTTGCGAGATTATGAATCGAATTTAGTGCAGTATATACAAAATATGGAAAAAGTTGGATATCCTTTAACAAGAACTTCTTTGCGTAAGTTAGTTTATTCTTTTGCGGAAGACAACAACATTCCTCATAAATTCAATACCCAAACAAAAATGACTGGCTACGACTGGATAAATTTATTTTTAAAGAGACACCCAGTATTAAAAATATGTAAAGCTGAAGGGGTCTCAATTGCTCGTGGTTTGGATATGTGTAACGAAGAAGTAAAAAATACTACAATTTATTGAAGGAAACCTTAATCATTAATAATTTAATTACTAAAACCCCCCCCCCCCCACCCCAGCAAAATTTATAATGTCAATGAAACAGGACTACAGCTGAACAATGATTATGGAAAAGTTATTGCAACAAAAGGAGCAAAAGTAGTAAGTCAAGTCACTTCTGCAGAAAAAAGCGAAACAATTAGTGTTGTGGCTTGCTGTAATGCAGAGGGGAAATTTATCCCACCATACTGTATATATATATATAATGGAAGGATCACGCAAAAAACCTGAATTCGAAGATAGAATGCCAGTAGGATCCTTTATATATATGAACCAAAAATCTACTTACGCGCATGTGCAAATATTTTCTTAGATTGGCTCAAAGAACATTTCTTATCAAGAAAGGAAAATGACAAAGTATTACTCATTTTAGATGGCCATAGCTCTCATTGTT